AATCTCTATAAATGTCCAGTTTTAGGGTTTTACACAGAATTAAACCAAACAACATGAATCAAACATGCACTTTATTTATTTCCACTAAATAACAAGTACATCAAATCAGATTGAAGCTAAGGGCATACATAAACTGTCTAACACTATATTCAAATTCGCATCAGATCTTATCAGATTTATGTTGGACTCAAATCAAATTCAGATTGCAATAAGATATTGAATAGTATAAATCCATTGAGCTAAAAATGATCAAAATATTATATAGTATAAATAAATGAAGTAAAAAGGACTTTGATATTATATGTTATGAACAAAATTAATTGAAATTTCCTTATATAAAACTTGAACCTATAAAAATTTAGTGAAAACACAACATTGAAATAAACTTTACTAGGGCTTTTGAAAAAAAATCAACTTAATGGGTATAAATATAAATTTTAGGTATTTATCAGTATATATATTTAAATCGAATTGGATTATATCAGATTGGGTAGGGGGTGGATCCGTATTTGATCCGATTATAAACAGATTGAATTTGGGTAACCCTTAGTGGTTCAAATTCGGACAATCAGTTATCGTTTTCAGCCCTATTTTCATCCTTGTCATCTTAGTTGATAAATGTAAAATTAATGCCATATAGCATGTTAAGATTGCAGATAATAGATTACCAGATCTCAATTAACTATGAGTTTGCTCTTTTTCTCATCTTTTCTTTTCCTTTTCTTACTGCAGATGGAAGTATATATTCCCATTGCAGTCCACATTTATGCAAACAGGGAGGTTTTGACCCTAGAACTTCATTTTCTATTGGGTCTCAAAGTCACATGTATATGCCTAGTTCGGATTCGGTGTATATAAATTCTAAAACTGTACAAGACCAACTGTAACTGCCTTTGCAAAATTGACAAGTCAGAGTGATTGTAAAAGCTTTTTGTGGAAATGAACAGGGTGATTGTATAGCCAGCACCCCCCCCTTCCCCCCTGGTCACCCTTGTAAAAACATAACAGCCAGTTCTGCAAAAATAGAAATGATGCGCCACGGCACAATAGACAGTTCCACCAGGCTAACTGTAGCTACTTTTTGCAGTATCAGGGTGTTCTAGAGGGGCCATTGCAAAAATAGAATAGATGCACGTTGTATAGCTTCCATTATAAGTTAATCAGTGGAAAAGGCCAACCCTCTATTTGATTTCTGCGCTCATTTAAAACTTCATTTTCTGTACCTTTTGGTTTCCGAACATTTTTGTGATTAAGAGGTAGCTAACTTGCTGTGATGTTCTTCAATTGTGATATTCTAGCAAATAAGAACCAATCGACCTTGTCTGTATCCTTGCATCTGGCAGTTCATGAAAAAAAGTGGCAGCACATGGTTCATTGTTTGGGACACATTGATAGGGCCCCGTTTTATGACCATAATTTTATAACTTAAATTTATACGGCTAAAATTTTGCCTTTGGCTCAGCCAAGAAAGAATATGTATTTCTTTATAGTTTAAAGCACGAAGTCGACAGGTAGAATATCAAAAACTAATTACCCTGTCAACGGGTTTCATTGTGTAAACGTGAAGCTAGTAGTTACATGAACAAGAGTGCTAAGAATGAGGTCCATGCAGGGAATAGCAGTTGGGATTCTCGGGACATCCCCAAGATTGGATGATTCATACGAAGTTGATGCGCTTTCTCAAGAGTTGAGATCATTATGTTCTCGTTTTAAGATGAGGGACAATGATTTTGATGCAAGTGCTTTTACTCATTT